TCAACAAGTTTCATATAATAATTTCTCTTGTTGAATAGAAAACGTGTACATGATAAATATTTTCATTTGAAAACAAAAAAATGGGGATGACAGTCCAGAATGGACCATGTTCAGTTTTAAACAGTAATTAGTATAGCAAACTAAAAACGAACGGCATCACAGTATACTGAATTGACGTCACACCTTACAGTCACTGGTAACACGGCCAATATCTTTGCCTACAACAAAGGATATTATATGTACATATATATAGTATGTATGCAAAGACTATATGTATATAAGAATATACCTATTACAGTATGTAACAATTACCCTGTTGGTCGTTTCAGGGACGTTTAGGAGTACATATGGGCATGGCATTTAATGAACATTTTTTTTGGTTGCTTTAAATGGGGCTTTTGGGTTTCTTATAAGATAACTTAAGAAATATTAAATTTCTAAAAATGTTATTTGCTTCTGAACTTACCGACACGTGTTGACGTAATATTGTCTACGTCACATAATAAATAATAGTCTACGGCCGCTATGAAGTCACTGACACGGCCGACTCAAAGCTTGCCGCTAAGCGACCCGTGCTTCCCCAAGGTTTTTGTGTAATTCTTTATACCTATCTAGACTCAGTTATTCTCCGAAAATTTTAATTTAAAAATAATAGAAATTATAATGAAATGGATATTATTTCAACAGCAATACACATAGTATTTGAATACTTATGTTATAAACTTCCACTTTATTGCTAAACAGATCTACGAAAATATTTAAAAAAAAAAGGTTATTTCAAGCATAAAATATCGTGATTAATTCCAAATTTGCAACTATTTGTAGGAGAAATTTAGTATGTATTATTCATATGAAATATTATACGATAAAGAATATGTAGATTATTTCTTTAAATAAATTCATATTGTCGTTTATTGCTAGAATATAATAAACAAAACAAAATTAATATAGGTAATATACGCGGGGTTTTGCGCGCTCTTTAAACTCAAAAGCGAAAGCCGACGAAGGACTTAGGTACTAGGAAAAACCCAAAAAACTCCACTCTTCGAATGATAAAAAGTAGCATCCACTTTATGCCGACTAACTAATTTTGATCCAATATCCTTATTCTGTGCTAATATTTAGTAGTAATATTTAAAAAAAATGGGAAGTTTTATAAACATAAAATTTTGTCACAATTCAGTGGTCAAGAATAGATATGAAAATAAGTATTATTTATCGTCGGTTGATAAAAAAATGCTAATTATAAGATTTTGAAAAACACAGCACCATAACAGTTTAAGTATTTGTTATTGTGTGGCTTTATAACACAATTTTTAAATGTTTCTTGTTATAAAAGTGTTTTAATGTATTTTTACTAATCCTAGCTATAATTTAATTTCTTAATAACACTTACGGACGCTGTCTGATAAATAATAACTATTATTAAAAAATAACATTAAAAAATTACGAAAATTTTTATTGATTTAGAAAATATCAAAATTATGTTATAGAGTACAATAGCTTTGCCGCGTCCATGCAAACAAACAAGCACCAGTAACGCATTAGCACTGATATTGACGGTTGCGTTTTATATTGCGAAATTAATATTCCGCCGTGAGTGACTTGTGTGCGATGTTTTACACAAACAAGGAATATTTTAATATGTTGATGTGTCTCGGGAAATGTCACTGCAATTATGCAGCAGCACGAAGACTTTACGAGGAGTGCTTTGCTACTCCACGAAATATAATATACAATTGCCGTCGGCGATGACATTCCAACGACTTCACATTTGTATGTACAATACTGGCAGTGTGCATTGCCGTGATGAACAACCTACAGATTCAGGAAGACCGAGGATGTACGACAACGACATCGAAGAGCACATTCTCGATATGTTTGAGGAAGATGCGACGCGGAGCACCGATCGGTGGTACGTGAACTAGGTGTGAACCATATGCGCGTTTGGAGAGCCCTCAAAGATGATGGCCTGCACCCGTATCATTATCGTCGAGTTCAGTGTCTTTTTCCCAACGACTACGAGCCGAGAATGGATAAGGTTGAAGGAGATCCTGAGTTTTTGAACCGCGTACTTTTTACGGATGAATGCTCTTTTGTTAGAACAGGTGTATTTAACGCTCATAATGAAGACGTATGGTCAACGAAAAATCCGCATTCGTATAAACCAAGCCACTTAACACCGATGGAAAATCAATGTGTGGGCGGGAATTAGAGGTGACAAAATTATTGCTCCGTATTTTCTTGACCACACAATGAGCGGTGAAAACTACGGACGTTTTTTGCGAGAAAAACTAAGCAATGAACTTGACGAAATAAATTTAGACCTCGTTCGTCACATGTGGTTTCAACACGATGGCGCACCACCGCATTTCTCCCGTCGTTTAAGAACTTTTTTGGATACTGAATTCGATAAAAGATGGATTGGCCGCGATGGACCGTTCAACTGGCCGGCGCGATCATCTGATCTCACACCTTTAGATTTTTATCACTGGGGTACGATTAAGCAGACTGTATTCCAAAAAAACATGCGATACCGAGGCAGAAATGTTTTTTTTTAGAAAATTTTTGTTATGCAACGCGTGCGTTCAGACATTATAAGCCGGTGTCGCAAATGTATAGAGGTACAAGGTGGACATATTGAACAACATCTTCGTGGTCGTCAAGTAGATAATTATAGTGATAAATTAGTGTTTGACTATTACATCTGTGACGTAACGAGGTCACGACCTCAGTGTGCAGTTAGTGTAGGTAAAACGCACGCGCGTAGTGATAAATTAGTGTTTGACTATAACATCTGTGATGTGACGAGGTGCACGACCTCAGTGTGCAGTTAGTGTAGGTAAAACGCGCCCTGTCTTTGATGTACGTCACCGTCGGCCGCCGCCTGCCGCCTGCCACTGTCGATAATTCCAGTCAGAGGTATCAATCCACATAAAATTTACAAAAATTATTTAATTAAAATTTAACTTGATTATTTTTATGTCGAGTTTTCTGAAGTAAAGTTATTTCTATACATTTGAATACTAATTCTGATAACGCACTTAACAGGAACCACAGGGTTTTTGTTACATATTGTATATATTATGTACTAAAGTTGTTCAAAACGACTATAAATCTATACGCTACCGGCTATAAGCTGTAAATTTCTAGCGCACTATTAAAATGCTATGTTATAGCGCGCTATTTATACGAAAGCATGTGGAAGGCCAGCAAGCGTGTAAAATTTTGCAGCACGCTAAATTTCGTAGCATTTCATGTCGTTCGTTGGATAGACAGTTTGCTATATAAGAACATTATTTCGTAGTAAGTCGCATTTTAGACTAAAATAAAATAAAACAGTAAAGAAAAACCAATGAACACTCCTTCATACTATTCAGGGTTATGACTGTCTATGATCGATATAGGTAAACGTTATTTTAAACTTAATGTAAATTATAAATCAATTAAATAGATTAGACAATTAATTAGATACCAAAGTGCCATAGCGCTATAGCCTCATGCCCGCTACTTACATAGCATGCGTTATGCGCTATGGAGAGATAGAGCGCTATAATCACAAACTAATAAGAGTACTAACGTAGCTATAATATGGCGCTATGTATGTCTACGGCCTTAAGCTGAGAACAAATTATCGGACGCGTCCGTCAGCCGCGGCTGACTGACGCGGCTTAGCGGTGTGCACGGTAGCTGAGACGGCGTGGAAGGTTTGTCAATCGAGAAACATGACAAACAGTGACCGCGAGGACGAATTTATAAAGTTAGCGGCAGCTGCTTTTTGTCGTCCTCCAAAAAAAAAGGGGACCCAAACACTCCTTGTCCATGATATTAATGTAAAACGACTCGAGTATGGTGAATTTCATACATTGTATCCAGATTTACAAAAAGATGATAAACGTTACAAAATGTACTTAAGAATTAATACATTTATAGTGCTGCAGTTTGTGGTTATATAGGTACTCGTGGCCACGAACACATTCAATTAATTTTTCTTCAACACACATCATGTCGCGAGCGCAGTTGGTTCGCTTGTGACACTCGAAACGTCCGCGGACGCGTCCCGTGCCCCGTTCACACTGTCCGCGGACACACAAACATCCAGCCGGCTAGATTCTGTTCGGACGTCCGAACGCTCAAGAGCAACGCAAGGTCATGTCCGCGTCTTAAGGCCGATAGTTTGCACAGTGTAGTATTAAATGTACTGGCTAGATTTCTATAAGCCGCGTCTGTTAGCCGCGACTGACGGACGCATCCGATAATTTGTTCTCCAAAAACTTCTATTTATCTATGCGCTAAATATTTGTCTATGGTCACAACCCGCTAGCGTAGACAGCCACTCTACTCTTTGTAGACAGCATAGATTACTGTGTATATACTACTTAGTGATGTTAACCGATTACAATTTTCAGCACCGGTTTAAACCGATTACGTTAAGAAAAAAACCGGTTTTTTAAGGTACTTTTAGGTTTTCTTATTTTTTTATAGAAAGAACAAAAGCTCAAATCTTTTTTTTTTAAATCTACTTTATTAAAATCAAAATACCTTTAACTTGAAAATAACTAATCGCATAAGTCGTAATTTTGATTGAGAAAACAGATCTGATCGACAGCATCCGCTTGCAACCTGCTTCTTTTTGAAGACACTTAACCTGACTTCGAAAACATCCTTTCTGGAGGTACAGACGACTTGCAAAAGCGGCGGAAAGTGATTTTGTGTCTATTTGGTAATTTATAGTTTGGGTTCAAAACTTCTGTGAATCTCCTAAATCCCCTGTCTTCAACAATTGAATAGGGCTGGAAGTCAGTAGCGATCATCATGGTTAAATATTTATAAATTTGTTTCTTATTACTTACCAGAGTCAAGATAGTAAGGTTTTTCCTAATAAAATACCAGTTTTGAATTATGGCTTATTATTTATTTTTCTTAAAATAATGAGGTAAAATAACAATCACAGAAAGGAAGTGGTCATCGATCAGATAAGTAATTACCAAATTTAAATGTTATACTTTGCCTGTTTCTAACAAATCGTAGTTTTGGTTTATGAAACAAATTTGGTCCACAGCATCTGCTTGTAGCCTGCTCCTTCTAGAGGACAATACATATCCTGATTTAGAGAACATCCTCTCTGAAGGTACCGATGTGGCTGGTATAGCTAAATACTTTAGCGCTATTGTATTTAATGGCGCCAAGTGTTTGTTGCTGGACCAAAAAGCTCCCGCACTTTCAGCTGCTTTTGTGATCTCGGCTTCTTCATTTTGTGGATCTGTCTCCAAATACATTCGTAAAATATTAACTGCAGAAGCAGTTAAATTAGTATTGGGTCTTCTTTGTTTTATGAAGTCTAGCAGTCCAGGTTTTTTCTGTTCTGTGCTACTACCTGGCTGCTCCGAAGTCGATGGCATAGAGCTATCGGCACAATCTTTTAAGTTATGGGATAATTCTTTCCTGACTAACTCTTTAGCCGACTGCATGTTCTCCGGGTGACGGAATCCTGTTCTTAATACTGGATGTAAATATGTAGCCATTTGGGATACAGTTCTTGTCTCATATGCCAAGAGTCTGCTACTTATGTTTCGCCTCACTGATGAGTGAAACATCTTGCCTATATCTGTTGTTAGGCAAATTTCTATTGTGTTCAATTTTTCAAATAGTCCACATATTAACGGAATAACTAGTGAACTAGTTGGATATTGATCAGCGCTGACGAGTTTTGTAGCTTCCTCGAATATTTCCAAAATGTTGATAACTTCTCTCCCTGCTTCTTCTTCGGAAGCAGTTAAGTAGTCTGGCGCCTGATCTAATTTCCTACACACCAATGCGAGAATGTCACTTAGCTGTAGTATTCTCTTCATCATGTAGAATGTGCTGTTCCATCTTGTAGATACTTCTTGTATCAACTTCAAAGGAGTAGAATCGGGGTTTCTTTCTTTCTGAGCTAATTTTAGCGCTCGCCAACCTACAGATGATTTCTTAAAAAAATTCACTACGGCTTTACATTTGTTAGTTATGTCCTCCACCTGAGAAAGCTTCATAGAATCGTCCAAAGTTAAATTAAGCGTATGGGCAAAACACGGCATGTGCCGTATTCCCAGCAAATTACACATCTTCACCATGTTAATACCATTATCAGTAACAATAGCAGAAATTTTTCGTAATATTTTCCATTCTGTTAGTAAATCTGTCATAATTTCAGCAAAATTTTCGCCTGTGTGTGAAGTTGGAACATCACATGTAGTTAATACGTAGCTTTTTAAAATGTTTTGGTTAAAAAAATGTATTGTGACAGTAAGGAAACAATCCATGTTTTGATTCGACCACATATCAGCAGTGAGTGCAAGATTCTTAATATTTTCAAGCATGCTAGCAAGCTGTAACTTTGCGCATTGGTAAAGTTCTGGCATTAGGTCATACCTGATCCTCTGTCTACTTGGTAGTTTATAGCTTGGATTCAATGCTTCAACCAGCTTCCTAAAACCCTTGTCTTCAACAATTGAGTACGGCTGAAAGTCCGTGGCGATCATCATAGTCAAATATTTATCGATTTTCTTTTTGCTACTTGATGCGGTCATTTTCAGAGTAGTCTGAAATATGGGGCGCGGAGTATCCGTTGGTTTTTCTTGTGTCGTGCTAGTAGATGTTTCCTGTGCCTGTGTGGCACCTGGCTGATCACCCACTTGACCTCGATCCACCTCCACTGTAGCCTGAGGATGGTTTCTCTTAATATGTGCCAACATATTCGAAGTTCCTCCTCCAACTTTGATCACTTTAGCGCATAGCTTACACTTTGCACTAACATTATCAATCTTTTCAAAATAATTTCTGGTAATTGATTTACTTTTTACTTTAGGCATATTTGCAAAGAAATATTGTTAACTCTAAAGAACTCGCAAGCAAAACAGAAACTGAAATATTTTAATATAGTGAAGTTAGTCGCATATTAAAATGGGATATCGGGGAATTTCCCTACCATAAACAACATTTTAAACAGAACAGAATCATGTTCGGATACATATCAAAGACTAGGATACATGTTTTGTGATTGTAATCGGTTTTGCCAATGAGAACCGGTGATTATAGGTTTTTAAAAAAACCGGTTTTTTAAAGGTTTTCATGAAACCGGTTCACATCGCTAATACTACTATACTAGACAGAGAACGAGCGACGCATAGTAGTCTGTGGAGCGACGAGAACGGAGAACGAGCGACGAGAAGTGAAATTGTTTTGTTTTTGTTTTGGTGTCGGATCAGTGGCGTAATTTCTTAACTACATTAAATTGTTTGCATGTATTAAAGTGAGTTATTTAAAGGAACTTTGGTAAAAATAAATCTCATCTCATCGACATTCAATTCGAATGCTGACGTCATATTGCGACGAAGTTCTATTGTGAAAAATGTCTATTGTTCTCTATACAAGTGAGGACCAAAAGTGCATATGTAACCTGGAATTTACTACGTAATGAAATAAACAGTTATTATGCTATTTGATGCATTTCTAGGAAGATTCTAATTCATTGTAAGTACACACGTACCACTTATTAACAGTAATCGGGTTATAATGTTGCGAGTTATTACAGTAATCGGTTATGAACAAGCTTGGTTGTTCTTTTTTGTTATTTGAAATGAATAAAAATTTGCCTTTTTAATATTATTTTCCCTTCGATCAATAAATGAATTTTGCACGTATTAAATAAACTGATTGCCAAATAAGACTTTAAGGTAAAATAAATAGATCTTCAAATTATTTTACATATAATGTGTAAACATAAACTTATCATGTGCATTAGTAAAAACCGTTTTTTCTTATCTTTTACTGGTTACTCAAGATCCCAAAAAACTCTAGAAAGATGATTTTCTAGATAACAGTTTTTAAGTTTCAATTGGAATGTAGTGTTTGTGAAGATAAACTTCAATTTAATGACACTTAATTAATCATTCTTTACCCAATCGTTGCCCAGAAAACCAAAGAATTGTTTTAGATCTGCAAATTTTTCGTTTAAGTCTTACTTGAACAAATTTGTGGACAAAAGCTAGAGTTCCTCACAAATGTGTAAAATCATTTAAAAATTAAACTGTTTCTTTCCTCTCTCAAATGTTAAGTATAGGCATTCACTGAGCAATCGCAGCCAGTTTTAGGCAAAATACTGCAGGGTGTAGGACTATATGATAATATTTTTTTTTACTTTTAGTATTTTAATATTGTATATATTTCAATGTAAGTAATTGAATTTGAAATATATATATATATATAAAAATTGTAATTTACAATGAGAGACTACTTAAAAAAAAGTCTATCAGAAGGGCACTTTAGTGCAATAGGGTATTTTACCAATTTTCAAAGTGTTTTAAATGAATCCTAGAGAGATAATGAACAACTATAATTTTTATTGATTTTTTTTTCAATCAAGTAGTGCCATGAAAATCACTTTTAATCTAACATTTTAAATTTTCATGTGAAAATGCTAGTCGCCATGCTGTTCACCACGTGACGTCACAGTCCTCGAATTTTGCCGATTTTGCAAAGGAATAAGATACTTTTTAATGTTTAATAATGAGTTATCAGCTATATCATTGCGGTGTTGTGCTTGAATGCAAAAATAAAAAAAATAGGAGAAAGTTATGCATTCAAGTGCCAACTGATTTAAATATAAGAAATACTTGGTTAAAACTGGCAAGAAGATACAAATATTATAATAAACACATATGGTCTACAAAAACTAGTGTATTCTTCTGTGAAGATAATTTTGATGTATGACATATTTAACTAATCATTGATATAAAACAAAACATGAGGGAAGGGTATTGCAAGTCAAATTTTGTAATAAATTGCGTTCACTTAGGTATTATAACTAATGATTACTAGTGATTATAATTATAGATAAACTAAACTATGATAGCTGCTAAACTATGTTTTATCAAAATATACTCTGACCTGGTAATGTGTTTTTGTATAATAAACAATAGTTGGTAATAGGTACTTACATTGATGTTTTAACATTCTTCAACTCAGCAGAACAAATATTGGGGTTGCATGCAAAAAATTTTGCCACCATCAATTTATTTATCTTCAGTAGATTAGTACTTTCTGTTTTTACGAATTCTTCTTTCATGATGCCTTTTCAATAAAATTCATAATAAAACTTAATAATCATAATGATAACTTGCAAATTTTCGAATTAACACAGCGCATTAACTGGTTGTCTTAATCACTGACACAGGACACTAATACCCTTAGGCTGGATCAGTGACGTCACAACAGGATTTAGTATGGCGGATAGCGTTTTTCAGTTTTGAGATACAGACAACAAAAATATATTCTTAAAATTGAAATATAAAATTTATAATGCAATTTTATAAATAGAAATTTATATATCTCGTTTATTTTTTAAAAAATCTATCATATATATATATATATATATATATATATATATATATATATATATTACGAGGGTGGATTGAAAAGTACTCGGCTTAACCAAGAAAATAAACACATACTAAATCAGTTATATTTTTATTTTTCTACATAATCACCATCAAGTTCAATACACTTTTGCCTCCTCCCCTTCCAAGCATTTAGACCGTTGAAAAAAAATGATTCTTCCTTAGAGTCAAAATATGCGTCTACAGCTGCTTTGACCTCGTCGTTTGTCGAAAATCTTTGACCTCCCAAGTGCTTTTTTAGGTTAGAGAACAGAAAGAAGTCTGATGGTGCCAGATCAGGTGAATACGGCGGATGCGGTAACAGTTCAAAGCCACAGTTGTGAATTTCAGCCATTGACTGTACTGATGTGTGAACACGGGCGCTATCTTAATGAAACAGGACTTTTCTTCTGAGCATTCCTCGACGTTTTTCTTTTATTTCCTCTCGTAAACGACGTAGTAAGGTGCAGTAGTAATCAGAGTTTATAGTCTGACCCCTTTCAAGATAATCAATCATAATCACACCTTTCGAGTCCCAGAATACTGAAGCCATCACCTTATTTGCCGACAAAATCGACTTAGCCTTTTTAGGGGGTGGTGAACCAGGTCTTCTCCACTGTTTTGATTGTTGTTTTGTTTCCGGTGTACAGTAATGAACCCATGTTTCGTCCATAGTAACAAAACGATTCAAAAAATCATCTGCATCGGCTTCAAATAACTCCAAACAGTCGCGTGAAATAGTCAATCGCGTCCTTTTTTGTTCAACTGAAAGCAGTCGCAGAGGCCTCATGCTCAGACCATAGATGGATCTGCTTTGCACTACAGGTCGATATCCCCTCTACACCACCATGGAGAAATCCCCGCAAGACGGATAAAACAAAATACCTAAATAGGTTGACGTTTTCGTTCGCGGGTTCTGAGGGGATAAATACTATAGCAGATCAGTCGCTCCTAGAAGAACAGGTAGCTGTTACTAAGGCCATGATAGATAGCTACCATGAATCATGTCCAGAAATCACTCCACCAAGGCATGCCGAGGTAAAGCAACAGTGGTGGGGTGAAGAACTCGATAGGAAACGTAAGAAGGTAAGAAAAGCCCTAAATAGGGCCATGAATACCTCAATGGATGAAGACTGGCTACTATATAAGAAAGCTAAGTCTGAATACAAAAAATGTATCAGGTATCGACGCTCGACTGGGTGGCGTAAATTCTGTGGCAACATAGAAACCTGCGAACAAGCAAATAGGATAAGGAATATTCTAGCTAAACAGAACACGTCAGAATCCATGTCTCTAAAGAAACCCGACGGTAGCTACTCAACATCGCCGGATGAAGCCCAACGCATCCTAATTAAAACGCACTTCCCAGGTTGCTGCTTAACCCAGGAGGCAAACCGGCATGACGATATACTGACACCAACAGTAGAAGACTGGAATTTAGCACAGAGAGTGGTAACGATGGACAAAATCCATTGGGCCATTCACAGTTTCCTCCCCTATAAGGCGGCAGGACCTGACGGCATATTCCCGGCACTCCTACAGTGGGGGGGGGTAAAGCCCTAATAGTCAGACTTGTTGCCATAATGAGAGCCTGTCTGGCTCTTAAATATGTTCCTAGGGGATGGAGGGAAGTGAAAGTTATATTTATACCCAAACCAGGTAAGAGCGATTACACTGACCCTGAATCCTACAGGCCCATTAGCCTCACATCCTTTCTCCTAAAGACGATAGAGAGGATGTGTGAAAGGGAATTAAGGGGGTCGGCGCTAATGAACTTACCACTACACGACAAGCAACACGCCTACAGTCTAGGCAAATCAACAGAATCGGCACTTCATCAGGTAATTACAAAGATTGAAGAGGCCATCCAAAACAAAGAAATATGTCTAGGTTCCTTCATAGATATAGAAGGTGCTTTTGACAGAACAAACTTCTCCAGCATAAAAGGTGCACTCAGTAGACATAAAGTTGAATCGGCACTGATCGACTGGATAGTTTGCATGCTCAGTACACGAATAATAAAGATTGCTGGTGAATCTCAACCAATCCTAATTAAGAAAGGCTGCCCGCAGGGTGGGGTCCCTCTCACCTCTCCTGTGGAATATGGTCATTAATGAACTCATCAGCAAATTAAATACTAATCACTTCTATACAGTAGGTTATGCTGATGACCTGACAATACTGGTCTCGGGAAAGACAGCAAGCATAGTGTGCGACCTGACCCAAGCGGCTCTCCGTATAGTGGAGAGATGGTGCAGGGAATACGACTTAACCATCAACTCAAATAAAACGGTTTTAGTAATGTTCACACAAAAACGAATGCTGAATAACTATCATCTTCCAAGTCTTTTCAGCACAAAACTCCAGCTATCCTCTGAGGTAAAATATTTAGGTCTTACCTTGGACAGCAAACTTAACTGGAATAAACACATAGA